CTCAACTACCACATGACCCAATTTGGCAAATTTGACCATCTTTAACCAAAATCCCCAAATTTCCCTTTAAAGACCCAAATTTTCCCAAATCCAGCTCAAATGTCCACCAATTTGATCTCAATTGACCCCAATTCCAATCCCAAACTCAAATTCACTTTTGATATGACCAATCAAATTACCTAAGCTCAAATTAACTTGTTATATGACCAAAGTAAACCAATTCCAAGCTTAATTGGCCCATTATTTGAGCCTAATTTTTATTTAGGTCAAAACCCCAATTTTGACCATATGACCTAATCTCATCAAATTGAACCCATAGCCTAGTCAATTGAACCCAATTAATGTTGAAAAACCTTGATAACATTACTATACATCATAATCAACCATAAATTGACCTTGGTGAAGCCTCAAATCTATTTGATTTTGGCCTAAATCCAAAATTCCCAAATTTAGCCCCAAATTGGCTAAGTCCCGAAATTTCACCCAATTGATTGCCTTAACCTCCAAAATGGTATCCAATTTATGTTGGAAACTCTTCATGAGGTCCTTATTGACCATTTACAATAATCAATTTGGACCTAGCCCAAGGCTATAGCCCAAGGCTAACCCGGCTAACCCAAGCTAGCCCAAGCCTAGCCCAACATGACCAAATTGATTAAAGTTCAAAATTCCCTCAAATTGATTTACCAATTGAACTCAAAATTGCTTCAACCCTTCACCAAAAATCTTCATAACAATCATATACACAATTTTGATCAATTAATTGGGTCAATTTAAATTTCTAACTTAGCCCAAACCCAAGCTTTGGTCATTTACACTCACTTGGACCCTTTCACCAAAAATTGACTTAACCATGTCTAAGCCACCAAAGTAATGATTTCACAGCCACAAAAACCTTTCTAAAGACCAGGCTAAACCCTCCTAAAATCACCATGACAAGCTATGGACCAATGGATCCACAAATTAAGGGATTTCAACCCATTTTTGGACTAAACTTGAAATATCTCCAACATCATCATTTACCTTTAGGAGATAATCATCTTTAGCCATCCCTGACTTCCCTGAGCCAAGAGGTGACCAATGCCTAGTCCGCCAGCCACCTTGGGGGCTGTAAAATGGCTAAAACCATGTCCAAGACAAGGGATTTTCACCCAATTCAAACCCAAATGCCAAATCAGGCCAAATCAGCCCATCAGCCCAACTGCTCATTGGAGCTTCTCTGCCCTCCACATAAGCAACCAAATGCACCCCTCAATTGGCCCTAGCAGCCAGCCTAAGCCATTTTATTTAAACTGCCCCTCCATGGCAAAAGAGAGAGGGCTTGAAATTCCTTGGGGAGACTGAGTAAAACTTCTTCCAGAGCTTCCTAGAGACCTCTTGAGCTTAACCAAACCTTCCTTAGCCATTCAAATTCATTGCTTGAGTTCAATTTTGGAGCTCAATTTCAAGGCCGAAATAGGACATCCTCCACACCTCCACCAAATTCAAATTAATTGCGCCCACACCATCCCAACATCAAGAGAAGAAGATCCCTTGGATCAAGGCGTTTCACCGCGACCAGAGGCTCCATCCCTAGGCTTCTGACACCCACACAAAGCTTCTACAAGAATCCAATCGAGGCTACCCCTCTTGGACCAAGGTATTCAAAGTTAACCCTAAACCAAGCCTCTTTTAATTATTTATGAATATACAATCAATTTAAGCATTCATCAACTATATGGATGTGTTTTACTAGTCAATATGAGCATTTAAAATAAAAACTTCACTCAATTTCGTTAAGAATCGAGTGAGATATTAGCGTTTTAAAATGGACAGTTTTTGGGTCCAGATCATTTGGCCAGATCATTTGGGATAGATCATTTGGGATGATGCCCCGTGACCGTCTGATCGAGCGTGTATTGATCGGGTGGCCCTGATCGTGTCGGACAGACCACGATCTGACATGGGCAGGAATGACCTGGCTGGGGGCGTCAATCACACAGCAACACGTGGCCTATTCGACCAGTACGTGGTTGACATTGATAAGTAGGAAAATAGGGGCCTTTTGTTATTTATTTAGTCCTCAAAACTTCAAAAATACATAACTTTGTGTAGAAAAATCACAAAAATAAAATAAAAAAACTCTCTTGCTCAGTGAACAGAGGAGAATAATGTGGCATAAATTTCAGGTCCATTTGATGCATAAAATATTTTTAATTAATTAAACACTATTTGGAATTATTTGATTCTCCATGCATATTAACACATCACCTTGGCTTGAAATTTTGGCATGTTGTAGCCTCTGTCAAGGGAAACATTCTCTGATTTTTCCGAAGTCAGAATAAGTTTCCTCCTCAAGCTTCTCGTCACATCTTTTTTTTTTCTTTTTCTTTTCTCAATTTATTACACATTATTCCTTCTAGGACTTTAATGATTTTGAATCCCACTCTTCTTTTCCGAAAGCATTGATTATAAAATCCTAAGTATAAAATCCTAAGAAAATTTTGGAAGGTACACCATGACTAGAGAAACCTTTGGAAATAATTTCATGGGTCAAGTCATTTAAAATGCACTTAAATTTTGCAGATACTAAATCACTAAGATAATTAACTTTGGAAAATATAAACATTTAAATGACTTGACTTTTTATCTCAATTGTGATTTATGATCCAGAAAACTCATCATAAAAATTTCAAAATATTTTGAGCTCATTTCACAACTTAAATTGATTTTTAAGGAAAAATACCACTCTTGGCATTTAAATAATTTATAAAACTATTTTTTATATCGATACATATCCTAAGTATTGCTATTAAATCAAAAGCTATATGAGCATAATCCACTGTTTAAAAAGGCGCCTAAGAATTACGCCTTGAGATCACCTGAGTATTACAGAAGTTTTTCCGTTGTATTCAGGTATTAATATTATTAAGGTTATATTTTGGTATAGTATTAAGGTTATATTCTGATAGTTTTTCCATTGTATTCTGTTATTATTATAATATTATTTTTATAATACTCAGGTAAGATTTAAGGTATTGTGAAGTAGTGATTGGTTTGGTGATTAAATAACAAGTTTTATTGCGGTTTAATGTTGATTTTTTAAGGTAATATTGTGTGCACATGTGTACAGCTCAAAAACACCAAAATAAAAATTATCTCGATGAATCCTTTTGGATTTCCTTCTTTTTTCGCTCTTTCTCTTCCTTTTGCTTGCGTGTCTCGGCCTGCACTGTCGATTCCTCTTCGGTTTCCATTATCAAGGGCTCTTCTGTCTCCATTCACACTGGGCTCTCTTCGGTTTTCAACAGCAACTCTAAAACCCAAGTTTTTTTTATTCAAAAACCCTAAAAGATGGAATGAACATCGAATGAAGGTGCTCTGTGCTCTCCTCGCTCGGGCATCGTTTGGTTTTCCGATGAAATAAACTTTCTTTCTGGCGCGCTATTAAGTTTTACCTGTTTCGGGCCAAATTCGAGCGGGGTCGCGCTGTAAGCATGCCTTAATTTAATTTTTTAAGTTGTGTGGGTCATTGTTCTAGGTGTCATCTTTTCATTGGACACCGCACGCATAGTTGCGTGTGATGTCCACACAGAATAAGACCTCCAAACAAAGAGGGTATAGGGTTTTCACATGAAGTAGAGACTGGGGAAGAGCGGTTTGAAAGAATAATAGGATTTTCATAGGATTTCAAACCACTATTATGTCAGTTACAACTGTATTTAAATATGAAAATGACGCACACTATATAAACAATAGATTATGTACATCAACGAACAGCAAAAACAATCCATGTTTGAAATACTCGTGTTAATAACTATAAATCATCAAACTAAAAATGAAGAAATGAATAATATTCTGAAGATACAACATTTTTTTTTTTTACTTTATAAAATAGTATTTCATTCTCCCCGAAAGAGAAAAAAAAAATCTAAACTTTTGCCTGCTGATTTATTAAGATAAATGATGGTTACAATTCAACAATAATGCCTGCCGGTCGGAAAAAAAAAAAACATGAGATGCGTTTTCAACTAAATTTACCTAAGAAAATACCCATGCATACTTTCTTAATTTTAATATATTCAATTTTTTCCACTAAATTTATCATTATGTCAAAAGTCAACCAAATATAGACCAGTTTTCACCTGCAGAACTTCCAATTTCCATGAACAAGGTTGATCATCGTATAAATTCTCCATAATTATTTTTGGAGTCAAATATAAGCATATTAATGAATTATTACAACATATTAAGTTATTTTCCCAGGCAGAAAATGCACATTATTACATATATACCATCCTCTCTATTTCAAAGGAATGATATTCCTTCACTTTTTAATGAAAGTAATTCCTTTCTGAATGCTTTCTGCCAATTCTTTCTTTGCTTTCTCTAATCCAGCCCTGCACCAGAATAAATAACAGAAAACTCGTCTTAAGCACCAAGCAGCAAAGAGTCGATTTTCTTATTTTAACAAAATGCACTTAAGCTATAGGTTTCAGTCAGAAGCATTCAAAAATTTACTTAATTTCATACACCAAATAGGGTTTAATCCATCAAGAATTCATAAGAACAAAATTTGCAGCTAATATAAAATATTAGAGAGAAAAATAGTAAAGATTTTTTGAGTGGGATGACAAACCTTTCATACTCACTCAGTGGTCCGAGAGGGAAGATTTCTTCAATTCCATTACGACCTAATCGAACTTTAGATGCAAAAAAAGGCAATTCTGTCACCTGCACAAGCATAATAATGCATCCAAAAAGGAGGGGGGTGTTCTTACATATAAATTACACAATTCTTATGTATTTATATATATCACAACTAAACTTTCATATTTATACATATAACATTTACGTGCATTTCATTCAAATCTTTAACATCAAATTAAAAATGTCACCTTATTACCATTTTTACTAGTGAAATACACCTTTTCATGGATAGGTTTAAAACACCAAATAACCAACGTATGCAAATTTTCCTAGAAAATTAAAAAAAAAAAATTAGCATAGTATAGCAAGTCAGGCACCTGAGAAGTAACAAACGAACATTCAACAACATCAGCATCGCCTCGCAATCCCCGCAAGCATGAATCTGCAAATTTAGCAGCAGCAAATGCCTGCAAATGAAAACAAGAAAAGAAATAATTAAATAATTAAATTAAACGAAGTTAGCAATCAGCAGAACCATTAATTGAAAATAAAATTAACAGAAGAGTACCATGGAAAGTGTTGCAGAACCAGTTCCTGCCTTTGCCTGAATCAAACATAGCAAGTTGCTTTACAATGTCATTCTCATGAATCATTTCATTCATTTAATAAAAAAATTTTAGTAACAACATAAAAAGGTTAGCATTCCTGTCTAATTATTGAGAAAGCAAATTATAAACAACCTAGCCTATAAATATTTAAGATCATGGACATTCAGAGCATTGCTTTCACATAAGCCAGCAAAAGAGTACAAGGGATGCAAAGTAGCTTGTGAATAACTTGTAGCCAATATTTCGCTTCTTTTTTTATGGCCACTAAAAGATGAGGCAAACTCATGCTGTATAGGACAGGAAAGGGCTTGGGCTTCATAAGTTACCCATTGGCAACTTTGGATTCTGTTCGTTAATTTAAATTCTCCTAGACTGAAGAGAAATATAAATCTGTTCTTTCGAGTTCAAAACCCATAAATCAGCAGATTTACATATGCAGAAGCTTAATATAAAACAAGCCTCACTTATGATACACCTATAAATGACATTTAAGCAACTTGGAACTATTTGAACGGGAACATTAAGAGGGTAATGCATTTATTTACTTTGCATTCCAACCCGTCTGGTGTTTGGTTGAATCAAAAGAAATGTAAAGTAAAATCTTGAATTTGAAAAAACCACAACTCTTATTTTCTGCATTTAGAAATCAACAAAATCTAATGATTTTAAATCCCGTGCCACAATTGCTCACAATATCCATCTACTACCACTTGCCACCACCATTACCCAACACATGTCAATAAATTTGAAATGTATCATAACAAATACACTAAAACATTTCAATGTATTTGATTTGCATCCATCCAAACAACACATGCACTAGTAAAATGCATGCAACAATTACTTCACATTACTACATGCATATAATTTCACATTTCTAAAAGCATATATTTTAAGGCATCCAATGAAAAAACCCCTAAACTAATTCCAAAGATGCAAAAATTAATTCTACAATAATACAGGATATTATATTAACTATGGAGATTATGATTTAAACAACAAATATTTTAAACTATATAAAGACATTGCACAACACTTCGCATTGTACTAATAATTTCAAGGGTTATCAGATAAAAATACAACCGACAAAAATTTTAAATGGCACTACTTAATTAAATGAGCACTTGTAACTGTTTTGTGTCATGATCAAAAAATTGAAGGTAATTCTCCACTATTGAAGAAAAATAGCAATGCCAACCAATGCATTGATACATGCTCTCTCACAGATATCTCAGGGTGATTGATATCATCTTAAGATGAAAAAATTAGATCTCTAACACCAACATAATATATTTAAAAAGCTTCTGCAAAACTAACCAATCAAATGGATTCATTAAAAATCACGTAAGTTTGGTTCCTTTAAAAGAATCTAAAATAGATAGATTTGAGACAAATAACATGAAAATATAGACTTGATAATGGTCATTTATGTAATTGTACTGAAAATGAGGATTCACAATCACTCCATAGTTGCTAATGCCATTTCCTACCATATTTATCTTTACCAACTCCATATCTTTGGCACACCTTGTTTCCTTAGCACCAACACAATATTTGATGTACTCAATCATAAGCCTTCATATAATCTCTATAATCATATGTTAATCCCTTAGTTGCTCCTCATGATTTTATATTAATTACTTCAGCACAAAAATAATCTTTATAATAGATATTTTTTTCATAAATCCAAATTGACTCCACCATGGTAATATTTTTAAAAAGCTTATGCAAAACTAATTGGTCATAACACATAAGTTTGGTTCCTTTATAATAACATTAATTTCTAGCATCTTCTTTATTCTTAAAAATTGGCACCAAAATGGATCTTCTCTAATATGTTTTTAAAAAGCTTATGAAAAACAAATCGATCACATAGATTCAAAATATAACACAAGCTGGGTTCCTTAATAATAACCACAATTTCTAGCATTTTCTTTATTCTTAAAAAATGGCAGCAAAATGCATCTCCTTTAATCATTCGATATTCTATTCGTGTTTAATGCTCTATTCAAATGATAGGCCAACCAGACTACTTTATGCCTCTCATAACTCTTAAGAGCTCATAAGGTATGTCATGTGAACGTTAACCTTCAACTCAAAGCTTATTCTTCACAGCTGAATAAACTTCTTAAATCAATTTATCATATACTTCAAGCTTTAATTCATCACGTTCCTCCAAATATAATTCTTTCTTGATACTCACAATGTCAAATCTATCCATCTCTCTCTCTCTATCTAACTATCTATATGTATAGATCGCATGCATGCACCCTTTGAAGTCCTCATTTTTGTTCAGCCATTGACCCCTTTTAAAAGATATTTGAAAATAACTAAGGGTCACTTCATGCACCCCTTCAAAATTTGTCCAAATTCATTGCATCCTCTAGAGAAAGCGTTTCTGGTACTATGACGCCACTCTGGGGCGCTATGGCACCAAAGGCTGGCGCTATGGTGCCATATGATGTTGTGCCATTTTTTTATTAGGCATCTCCCAAAGCTTCTCCTGATATATATATATATATATTCTTTTTGAAAAGCCCAAGGGCTGATTTTATTGAAATAGTGAAGATACATGAAGGTTGTATGAGAAGGCCCAATAGAGGCACCCTATCCATATGATACCAAGTACAGTAATATCCCAACTAAAAGATACAGATATACTCAAAAAATTAAAAATTGCAGAAAACAAGTAGCTAGGGACAAGTCAATTTAGTCCTGTCTCTTCCTCTAATTTTAGGTGCGGAGCCAGATAACAAACTTTAAAGTGTCGTGTCATTGCCCGGAGTAACCAAAGTATCATCCATTACGTTTCTAAGTTGAAATGTACCCCCAGCCTTTTTCTTCCGTCGAGAAGTGTAAATCTGTCATTATTCATCAGAAGACTGACTCATGTGACCCTCGGTCTGATTAGATATTATAACCGCAGTAGAAGGAAAGACAGTCGTTGCTATAGCGAAAGGTTTCAGTGTATGTGAAGAGAGAATTGTCACCTCTGCACTTGATGCTTCCTGAGGGGCTATCCGGATTTTCGGTCTGAACATTATCAGTTGTAGTATGGTTGGGAGAAGGGTTCCCAGGGGCAGACACCAACTGTCTTGTGTTGATTCCCTCCTCAGGTTTGTTGGAAGCGCATTCAGACACGTGGGATGCACTAACAGGATGTTCTTACTTTTGACTATTGGTTCTCAACTGTGGGTGCAACATTTCTCCTACGAGTGTCCAAACATCCTACAGTGCTTACAGTAGTAAGGTTTTTGTTCCATAATGATTTTTTGCCAATAACCATTGTTAGCAGAACCAAGTCAGACTTCTTCTACATCTGGTAGCATAATATCTCTTTCAATCAAAATTGTTGCAGTAGAGGGCATTGAGAAGTGAATTATGGGTAATCTACCTGTAAAGGTTTTCCAAGGATAGTCTCAATTAATTGCATATAAGATAGGAAGATAGGTAAGTCAAAGAAATGAAGCTTGAGTTCAGGTAATGAGAACCAGATAGACGCAATTGGGGGTTCTTGACTGGGATCAAAATTAGAGGGTACATTTGAGCAATTTCATATGTTTGTCTTCTATTGTGATGAATTTTTGAGAAAATCATCGTGTAATCTTCTTCTATACTCAGTTGTAACACAATATGTCTTCCGTTGAAATGACCCGCCTGCCAGGCCCCAACTAATTTGAAATCTTCAAAACATTCCTGAAAATTTCCATCTTTGCGCAACCTAATTGAAACTTTTCAACTAGTGTAAATTTGTATTTTCCCGGACGAGTTGAAATTTCATCATCAGAGAAGAATATTGTTGGTTTGCCCACCTTTTTCTCTACGTTCTTGATGAGATTGCAAGCTCCATGTCCTGCAATAGAATCATGGTACATCTGCGGGAATATGGGACTATCTGCGAGGTGGAAATGGGAGCTGCATTTGTGAACCACTGTAGCATAGGAGGGTTTAGCGGGGTTATCACCGACGAGGGCAGCGGCGTAAGAAATCCCTGAGGCCATTAGCGTGCTTCACACAAGCACCGCAAGAGAAGGGCATTGCAGCAGACGGCAGAAGCATCGCAAGACTGCGACAGCGAGCAGCGTCGGCAACGACCAAGCCGAAGGCGCTTTTGTCGAGATGGAACGAGGAGGAAGACGAATCAGCCTACAGACAGAGTCGAAACCGTTGTGCGGGCCTGCGAGCCAAACGTCAGAGCGTAAGGAAGACGACACCTTGCGAGCCTGCGTTCGACTACGCCGTGCGAGCCTGCTAGCAATTGTCGTCGACGCGAACCAACGTCGACTATTGAATGAAAGCAGTGATTTTTAGCCTCCGAAATCGCCATGGAACCGCAGAATAGGAGGATGTGATTCTATTTCAATCTTTTGTCAATATCCGTTATGAGTGGTGCAAATCCATACCCATCCAGGGCTTGTTGAGTGATATCTTTCTTAACTAACACAACAAGCGTAAGAGTATCAACCTTGAGAGACTTACCGTGAGCAATTGCTAAGGAGTAGAGAATTTCCAAGTCGAACGCATATAATTTTAATCCCGGATAATTTATCCAAACAGAAACGATAGGGGACTCCGCTTTTGGATTAAAATCGACAGTCCACATCAGAATTTTCATAAAACGGTTGTTGATCTTGATAACTTTTTGAGTAAAAATACGAGTGTAATCAACATCGTGATATATCTGAATAAGTTAATGTCGACCGTCAAGTAGGCCAATATTCGAACTGCTCAATAGCTTCATATCATCAAAATCTTTTCGAGTTTTGGGTGACCGTAAAGAAATTTCTCCACTAGAGCAAAACTCCAAGAAGATGTGGGAGTACTGTTTTCAAGCTCAGTGAGAATAAAAGCTGGTTTCCCAGTTTTTTTACAAAGCTTTTTAATGAAAGTGTGATTATCACCACCTTCAAGAGCCTCGTGGAAAGATTGTGGAACATTGAGAACTTGCCAATACGGAAACTAGACTCAGAATTTGATAAAGGAGCACGAATATGAA